CGGAGCGCTGATTGGGCGCAAGCGATGCCCGCCGCGAGGCCCGCCTGGGGTTGAGGATGGGCCGGGCGGCACGGCCGCGGTTTCCATGGAGACGGGCCCGCCTCTCGGCCAGGCCTTGCTCCGCTGCGGTTCCTGTGAGACGCGGCCTACAGCTGTGAGCGGAAGGACTTGCAGGTTCGTGCCGGGAGCAGCCGAGCCGCTGTACTACTCCGTGGGCGCCGTCAGAAGGCACAGTGGCCGCACAGCATCCCGTTGTGCTGCAGCTTGTCCTTCGGAGCTCCCGACGTGGCACCCGTGCATCTTGCGCCCTGTTCTCTCTCTGGGGACTCCCTTAGGTACCCCTTACCGCTACTAAGTGCCTTCTGTGTGCTGCCTCTTGAGTCCCAAGCAATATCTGGTGCTACCGTGTGCTCCTCTCTACTGCTTTCCTCTAAGGGATTGACCTCGGCAGACTGACAGCCATCTGCTCTTCTGCCTCAGAGCATCTGACCCTCTGGGCCCTACATAGGTCTTCTCACTCCTCCTCCTGGGATCAGCATCCTGCCTGATGGCTGTTCCACTGGCAGTGTTTTCTTTTGCTCCCACTGCTTTATGTCTTTCTCTACCTTTCTGCACTTAAGGCATACTCCCCTGTACTTGGCACTGGTAAGGCTGCACCTCGAGTGCTGTGTGCAGTTTTGGGCCCTCACTGCAAGAAGGATATTGAGTTGCTGGAGCATGTCCAGAGAAGGGCAACAGAACTGGTGAAGGATCTGGAGAGCAAGTCTTATGAGGAGCAGCTGAGGGAACTGGCTTTGTTTAGTCTGAAGAAAAAGAGGCTGAGGAGAGACCTTCTCGCTCTCTGAAACTACCTGAAAGGAGGTTGGAGTGAGGTGGGTGTTGGTCTCTTCTCTTGAGTAACTAGTGGTAGGATGAGAGGAAATGGCCTCCTCAAGTTGCACCAGGGGAGGTTTAGGTTGGATATTAGGAAAAATTTCTTTACTGAAAGAGCAGTCAAGCACTGGAACAGTCTGCCAGGGAAGTGGTGGAGTTGCCGACCCTGGAGGTGTTCAGAAAACATGTAGACATGGCACTTCAGGACATGGTTTAGTGGGCATGGTGGTGTTGGGCTGACGGTTGGACTTGATGATCTTAGAGGTCTTTTCCAACCTTTATGATTCTGTGTGTACAAACCTGTAGTCCTGCAGGGTACTTGACACCGGCTCGCCAGTAGCATTCCTTTCTTCCATCCATGTGACTGTCCCTTCCTGTCATCCTTGAGGTTGTTTGCTCTATGGGCTCAGTGTCAGCGTTCCTCATGGTGTGTTGCCCTCTATTTACATTCCTGGATGCTCTCTATAATATGTACACATTTCTCAGTCCAGGGGCAATTGTTTCTTTCCACCATATCTTGTCTTTTACTTATACAGTCCCTTATGCCTCCTAGTCTTCTATCTGTCCTGCATGATGATAGAGCTTGACATCAAGCTATCATGTACCCTGCAGCATAGCCCACCCTGTACTTTGCCAGAGGTGTGTCCCTGCTCAGTACCTGACATCCCACGTTTCTCTTGTATGTTATTGGTCTTTATCCTGTCCCTCAGCTTTTGCTATATTTTATCTATTCTGATCAGATTGTATAATGCATGAGATGTATATTTACTGTTTTATATGTTTAAATGTACTTGTAAGGTAAATAGCAAACCAGCTACTAGCAGGGAAGAAACAGCACACAAGTGATGCTAACTTGTGTCACCGATTGTCATAATTTTTTTTTCAGTACTATGTTGACATGATTTCCTTTTTTTTTATTGCAACAATGCTATGGTACAACTACTTAACAGTGTAGCTGTCGCATATGCTGATTGCTTGTCTTATCGTGACTTGCAGCTCATAGGGAAATAGCTGTGCTAATACTCAGGTGGTCTTGGTTTTGTCTGTTACTGCTGCATGAAGGAAAACAGTTGTGGCTAGAGATAGTTAACTGAATACTGACTGTATAGCATTTTCTTTCTTATCCTCTTTTCTGTAGTTTTGAAAGGAAGAGAAGCAGTCCTGGTTTATTAGCTCTGCTGGTCTGTTACACACATCTTATTCTTAGTACAATAAGAGTATGTTACAAGGCTAGCAAGGAAGAGAAAAGCAAGTACAGCTTCTTTATACTTTGAACAAAATTTTAAAGCTTTGCACCTCTTTGACAAGTAAAGGTTGCATGGAAGTCTGAATGATCTCAAGTATTACTCTGAAATGTTCTTCAGCATCACCTTGTACTCTTTATTTGTGACTAGCTCAGACTTGGCATCTAACTTCTTGTTGAAGTATCATTTTAGTAGTAACAGGTGTGAAATCTCCACGGAGTCAGATATGCTAACCACAGTCAATTGTATGTGATTTACAGCAAATCCATCATTTTCCTTTGGTAAAGAGGCTGATATGAGTCCCATTAGGTCCTTGTGTGGGGGAACAGGAGTACCTATCAATCGCCTCTTTCAGGATAAGCTTGAAGTAAGTGATTGGATTGTAATGCGCAGCTTTGCTCCATAGGTTGTATGGGTAAGCTGTGCTTGTTGAAAGATGTTATCTCTTACTCATATGTATGCTGTTTCCTAAGTCATCTTTTAATGTCATCATATATAGGTTTACTATTTGTATTTTGACTGTAAGACACCCAGGCAATTGGTGCCATTTATATTTAAAATTACACTGTTATTTCCATTATACTCCTTATTGAAACTAACTTGCAATTATAAATACTGGTGCTATCAAAGGCAAAATGCTCCCTTCTCCCATATTAAATCACATCTCTAAGAAATACAGCTCTCTATGATGGAAAGCAATATTTTGAAATCACAGGAAGGCTCATGTTTTTACAGGAAACTGACTGTGTTGTGCCTTTTAATTTTAAGATAATCATAGAGAGAGATTGTAAAAGAAGTATAGTTTTTCTTAACCACCTCTTTCCAAGAAAAACTGTGACTTCAGTTTGATGATTTCAAGGAAGTAATAGGCTGGAGCTGTGGTCTTGTTTTTTATTCCTTACACAAAGGTCTAATAATGTATTGCTAATTTTAGCTAATGAAGCATACGTCACGTTTTTAAAAGGCACTTACAAAAGTATTTTAATACCTAAATGGGTATAGACTGAGCATAGTTTCTTTCAGTGCCTTGAGTCCAGAAAGCATCTCATAGGCATTTTTTAACTTTAATGTATTTATGATTGGGATGGAAGGGGGAAGGAAGTTACATTCAGTTAATCTTCTTAATTGTAGTAACCATCAGATACATTTGGAACAACAGTAGCTGAAAGAAAGATACAGAAAGAACAAATCTTTCTCAGCATTGCAATGTTACAGGAAGGGAGGCAGTACTGTTCATCAATAACTATGACAGTGACTGTTACAAAAAATATCTAGTTCTGCTTACCCAAACGAAGAAGATACTACTTACACTAATTTCTACATAGTAGCAGAATTTGAAGGTTGCCAACAGGAAGTGGAATGTGAAGAGCAAACATAATTTTATTTGAATTGCCTTAGGAATAAATGTGAAATCATAGGCCAGCAGAGCTGAAAGATCATTGTGTTCTTTAGCAGTGTTTCTTACTTGGTGTACCTGGGAAGAGGAAGCTTGAGATTTTTTTTATACATGTCACGTCCAACGATCAGAGACTCATTTTTTGATCCTGGAGAATTAGAGTTATGTAGCTTGTTTGTGAAGAAGAATGTTTAAATTGTGGCATCCTTTTGCACAGAGATATTGCATCTTTAGCACAGAGGTATCGCATCATGTTTACTGATCTGGAAATCTCTCTTTCATTTAAAGAGATTAAAGAGTCATTATTTGAAAGGGATGCTTGTCTAATTTGTTCTCTGCATCCCTGTGCTTATCCAGATGGCATTATCTGTAACCACTGACACAGAATAATACTGTGAGAGTGAGAGAAGCTGTATTGACTCCAGAGATTTTTTCCCAAATCTCTGGAGCAGAGATCGAAGCAGAAATTACCATCTATTTTCCTTCCTTTTTTTTTTTTTTTTTTTTAAGCAACCGTGGTTCTTGGGAATATTTTTTTTTTCTTCTACAGAGTTTGTAATTAGATATAAGGCAAATATGCAGAATAAACAATAGGAAGAGATGGAAGTGAAGCAGGTAAAGGGTTTTACCAGTAAAAGCACAACCTTTGAGTAATAAACATTTTCCTTTTAGTTTTAAAGATACAGTTAATATGTTACTGAAATACAGCTATTTCCTCATGCCTGTTGTCCTTTCTGTGAAGTAACTTCAAGGTGGATTTAGCTGTGGACAGAACAGTAGCTTTGTAGTCCTGTGAGTAATTGTGGGAGCATAAGACAAATGGGACACAGCAGTTAATACTGTTTATATATGGGACAGCTGGACTTGACATATGTGCAGAGAAATATGCATGCAGTTTACAGTGACTAAATCTTTTTATGCTTCTATTTTCAGTGTATATAAAGAAAGGAGAAATTTATGTTTTCCAACACCAAAATTTAGTGGCATTTCACAACTGATTTGGAAAGTCTTATGCCTGGACAATGCAGGAGTGTAAGTAAAAGTAAATTCTGCTTCTACAAGTGGCCAGTGCCTGATGGTCCAGGAAACTTTACAATTAAATCTAAAATTCACTGGTAATTAATTATCAGCTATGTAGTAGACTGGGAGTGACAAGATACTTGATCTGTATTAGTTGTCAGTCTTAACTGTCTTCTGTCACCTCCTGTTTCAGATTTATAGTGGCGTTACAAATGGAGAAAGAACTAAA